TTCATCAGTAAGTGCTTCAAGTCCTCTTCACTTTCAGCAGGCAAGGTTGTGTCATCTGCGTACCACAGGTTGTTAATGATTCTTCCTCCAATCCTGATGCCACGCTCTTCTTCATATAGCCTAGCTTCTTGGATTGTGTCTGATTCTGATGTAGTGAACTAAAATATTTGTTTAATTATATTAAAAGTCTTATGGATCCTTTACCTGGGCCCTACTTTGGGGCTGACTCGGAGTAACGCCACCTCCGTGCTTGAGATCTGCGTTGTGACCTCCCTACAGGCATGTATGTGTGCTGTCTGCCTTCCCGCGCCTCCTGGGCATCCAGGTGCAGCTACTTACTCTGATCCAGTTCATAGGGTGTTTCTTCTCCTGCAAACACGCCATCTGTTTGTAAGCTCTCTGCCTGCCCTATGGCTTAATGCCAAGACATCGCCTGTCCCCCAGACGCAGACCTCTTATGTCTCTACCCAGGAGAGCCTGCAGCTTCGTGACTGAAGTCTCATGCCGCCCCGAGCAGAGAGGGGCCGACTTTATCACCCTCTGTGCTTGTCCCTCTGTGAAGATCCTGATATGTGTTTCACACGTGATTTCTGATGTTGTCACGTGTGCTTTGAAATAGGCACGGGTGTTCTCATGTCACTCTCTTCAGCTCCAGGTGCTCGGTCTTTCCTCCTTGGTCCCTGCAGCTGTAGTTCATTGATTTTAAGTTAGTGTTAGGTCCAAGGGCTGCCATGACCAAGTGCCACAAAGCAGGGGGTTGAAAGAACAGAAATTTATCGTCTCACAGCTCTGGAGGCTAGAGGTCAAAACTGGGGTCTCTGCAAGTTGATTCCTTCAGAGGGCCCTGATGGGGAATCTGTCCCCTGCCTCTTTCCTAGTTCCTGGAGCTGCTGGTGATCCTTGGGGTCCCTTTGCTGTTTCTGGGGGTATCTTCAAATGGTGCCTTCCCTCAGTGTATGACTCTGTCTGCATGTCTGTCCTCCCCATCAGTAAGACACCAGCCACGCAGGACGAGTCCCCACCTACTCTGGTATCACCTCATGTTAACCTAATGGACCACATCTTCAAAGAAAGACCCTATTTCCAGACAAGGTCCCATTCATACTATGGGGGTTAGGACTTCAGTGTATCTTTTTTTGGGGACACCATTCATTCCATAACACAATGGTATAGAATTCCATTGTATGAATACACCCC